TTTRRWTTTTTTTAATGCATTTTCGTGTGGACGTCACAAACTGGTCCAACTCTCCTAAAGGGTTGGGCATAATCGTATCGTGTTCAATTAATCATCAGAAAAACATTAATCGATTAATGTTTTGGGACTTGACGATTAATACAATTAACGCCACCAGTCAGTCCGCTTCAAATGTGACGAACATTAAAATAAAGGTCTGTAATTTATTTATTTATCAACGCAATTTAAAATTTGACGTATAACCTGAAGTCTGTAATTTTAACACAATTTAGAACAGATTTTTACGAAGAGCAAATCTTTCCCACTAAATGTGTGATGTGACCAGGACATAAGGGTGTCCGGGGACTCCAGGAGATTACTCGTCAAATTCATCGTTGTCCGCTAAATACCACAATTAATCGTGATTATTTTTTCCCCAATATTGCCCAACCCTACTCTAAGAGAATTTAATTAAATCCTGAAAAAAAGCTGCAGCCATAAAGACAGATCATACTTCCTCTAATATCCTCGTCTTGTTTTCCTGTTACAGTTAATTAGAATAAAAAAAACGAATTAATCGTCACCCTGAATCAATAGGTTTTTATCACTAATCATGACGTATGTGTTTCCAACCAGTTCTTTTACAGTTCTTTTAATGTGGCACAAATTTAACTAATTTATACAGGATTCTATTGAATTTAAAGCCTAAACTCATAAACCATTGCATAAATTCACTTTTAAATTAGTCTAAACACCTAAAAGTTATCATCATGGACCTGTTTTATGTACAAGTACAATAATGGCTGACACACGTGCATTTTTAATCCATAAACGGCACATTGATTTGCAGAAAATTGCTGCGATTCAAGGCCTAATTAATCAGATAATTGTTTAAGATGCACTCTGAATAAAGAAATGTGCATCACATTWAAAAAAAAAGGGCAGAGGAAACCTCGGTCCAAACAGTGACTTATATTTGTGTGCAGATGTGTTTTTAGTTTAGATAACATGAACACACAGAGTTGTCGTCCATATGGCCATATTGTCATCTCCTGGCCACCTCCTCAGCTCCATCTCCTGCCTCGTCCTTCCTGTCCGCTGCATTAGTGGCTGCTGGATAAATACCAGCCCACTGACTGCCCAGAGGAACAAAGGTTAGACACACACGCCGCAAGCATCCACACGACAACGCAGGTAGTTAAACACTTTAAACACCTGGTAACTCAGCCACTGAAAAAACATTCACTTGTCAAACGGTGATCGCACACGCACGAGACGACGAAGAYGGTGTGGTTGACTCGCAACTATTACCAGATAATCCGCATTTTAGCGAAGGTGGGAAAGACTGGAGGGTAAGAGGAGGGGAGTGGGGAGGCAGGGGGAACAAAAAAAAAAAGAAAAAAGAAAAAAAAGAGAAAGGGGTGATGATGCATGATCAAGCGAAAGCAATCATGTCATCATTTTCTGAAAGGTAGAAGAAAATAATTCTCCCCCTTCGTCTTCTCTCCTTTTCTCTTTTTCCAACTCAATCACCGCGCGGCGAACAGATAAAAGAATGATTTAAGAGCGGCGGAGAGGAAAAAGAAAG